GAACAATTTCGGTCCATTTACTAAAATGATCAACCATAACAAGGAGATAGCGACTTTTATTTAACTGACTTTTTGGGAAAGGGCCCAATAAATCGATGCCAATTATTTCATTTGGAAATTCGGATTTAATACTATTTAGAAACCCGGCCGGGCGGAAATTAATATAATTAACGGCTTGACATGTTGGGCAGGACTGGACATACGCCCTTGTTAACTTTTGCAGTTCAGGAAAGTAGACTGCCTCGCGTACGCGTTGGATAGTTTTTCGAATACCAGCATGAGAAGCTAAAGGGCTGTCATGGAGCTCTTGCAGGATATTTAATCTAAGACTAGCTGGGATAACAGGTCGAAATTCGTTGTTGGAATTCGTAGTTTTTTGTATAAAATAATAGACCATCTATTAGTTCGTAATGGGCCCGCCCTATTTCTTATCGCCACAATATCTTGGTGGCTAAAATTTTCAGGATCCTTCAAATACTCATAAATACTTCCAAACTCAGGATCCTTACCCAGTTCGGTTATTACAGTTTCTCGGGAATTTATTGTACACGCTGTCAGCATTGCCAACTTTTACGGTATTACCCTGTTCGTCTAATTTTTAATTCGTGATAGGGCATCTGCTACGATATTTTCCTTTCCGGGGGTATGCTTGATTACCAGATTATATTCTTGCAGCTTGAGTGCCCATCTTATTAACCTTGGGGATAAATTTTTCCCTGAGTACAATCTAGTTACCGCCGCATGATCAGAATACTGTTATCGGCGCCTTTCCAAAATAGACTCGGAACTTTTGCACTGCTAACAGAACTGCAAGTGCCTCTCTCTCGGTCGCGGAATAGTTTCTTTGTGTTTGATTTAAAGTTCGGCTAAAAAATGCCACGGGCTGCTGATTTTGCGAAAGTACCGCTCCTACCGCATAATCCGAAGCATCCGCTGAAATTTCTAAATTTTCATCCTTTTCAGGAAATTTCAACACAGGGGCTTGCGTTAATGCTTGTTTTAATTTTTCGAAAGCACTATTGGCTTCGGCCGTCCACGAGAATCTTGCCTTTTTCCTTTTTAATTTTAACAATGGCTCAGCGATAGCCGCAAAATCTTTTATAAAGGACCTATAATATGAACAAAGTCCTAGAAAAGAAGAGAGCTTCTTTGCCGTGTTTGGAGTCGGATACTTTTGTACAGCGATTATTTTTGATTCATCTGTCTCGATCCCTTTTTGAGATATTTTGTAACCTAAATATTTTAATTCAGGGGCTGCAAATTTGCACTTTTTCGACATTAACTTTTAGACCGGCCTCATTTAATAAAGAAAACACCTGTCTTAAATCCTGTACATGTTGGTCGAGATTATCACTAGTAATAATGATATCGTCTAAATAGATAAATGTGGACTTTCCAAGAACAGGTCTTAACACAATGTCCATGCATCGCTGATGAAATGTTGCTGGGGCCCCTGAAAGGCCAAACGGCATACGCAAAAATGCATAAGTGCCAGACTTGGTTATAAAAGCAGTCTTAGTTAGGCACGTCCTCAGGCCTGACCCCTATTTGAAAATAACCATTCGTTAAGTCTAAAGTCGTCATAAATTTGGTTGATTTTTATGTTCCTTAAAATTTCTTCTATGATCGGTAACGGATATACCGGATATTTCGTTATGGAATTTAATTTACGGTAATCAATAGCGAATCTCCACCTTTTTGGATGCTCCAAAGGATAATCATTATTTTTCTTACATAAAACCACCGGGCTAGCATAACTACTTGAGATGGGCGTTATGATCTTTTTACGTAGCATATCGGTAATATGCCATTCTATAATTTTTTCCTTATTCTTATCATACCGGTATGGTTTTTGACGAACTGGCAATGCATCTCCGGTGTCAATACTATGGTTAGTAACCTGAGTAAATCCTGGAATATCACTAAATAACGAAGCAAATTCACTTACCACTTGTCGGATTCTATCTTGCTCGTCATTAGGCAGGTGGTCAAGATTTAACCTTGGCGGTTCAACCTTTTCTACACGCACTGGTTTCATTGTCAGCTTAAGGGACGCTTCATTAAAATCCAGTGTAGCTTGTGCGTCTGAAAGAAAAAATCTATTCCTAAGATTAAATGTGCTTGCAAATTCTTTACTATAAAAAACATCACCTTTACTTGTTCGTCCTTGATACGGATATACAAAGGTACTTTACCTACGCACTTACATTTTTCTCCTTGCGCCGCTAATACTGTCGTATTATCCGCATTATATATGCGGTATTTGCGAAAATACTTTCTAAAAAACTCTTCTGCCACACAGGAACACTGCGCGCCGGTATCCAGGAGTGCGGTGGCGGGATATTATTCACCAAGACTTCAATCTTCGGAAGGAAGAGTCAAATTTTTCACCATTACTGTATTTAACTTGTAGGAAGAGGGGTTTTCGTGGCCTTCGGATTTCCGCACCCTCTCGTCAGCAGAAATCCGTTTTAGTTTAAATTATTTTTCCTTTCCGTGCTTTCCTTCTTTTTCCCACTGGCCTTGAGACTTTTTTCCTGGGTTGCTATTGAACTGTCGACGTTCGCCGGCTGTTTTTGAATGCTCGGGTTTCCTTGCCCACTGATTCGCTTTTTCTCCGTAGCCATGTGCTTGAGTTTGCTGTAGTCTTGGCGTACCAAATTGGTTTCGCTGTTGATATTGGCGTCTTCTTTCGACGTCCGCCGTTCTTCTACTTTCAAACTGGATTGCTAGCTCAAATAACTTTTCCAGTGTAGTCGGATTTCTTAATTCAATAAAGTCTTGCACTGGGGTGGGGTAGTAACCTCGGCAAAATCACTTGAATTATTTCAGGATCCGGACGGTTTCCATACAAGAGCTTGAAAACGTGAATTTTTCTTAAAATAAAGCTCGAGAGGTTTTCGATTCTTTGTTGATATATACTGAAAAGTTCCGTTTCTAATTTCGCACGATCCCTTACAACAGGGAAGGCTTTTAGTAGGGCAGTCTTGAAATTTTCGTAAGTATAGGTGGGACTTCCTGCTTGACCCAAGAGACTTCTGCCGATACATTTGAACCAGTTAAGCGCTTGGCCCCTCAAAGCGCTGGTAGCTAAGGTAACTTTTTGAAACTCGTGCACGGGGTAGAGCATGAAGTGGTCATCCAATTTTTCCAAAAAACTGGTTACCGGTGAGTTTCCATTAAACGTTGCTTCTGGTTTCATCGAAGCGCGCATGGTCTGGACGATGTAACCCAAATCCTTCCAGGGCGGCAGCTGGCATTTCTGGATTCTGAGCCGTTTCTGCAGGCAGCACAGGTTCTTCTTGAAACTCGGCCATGGTTATTATTCTCTTCGTTGGGCGCCACTATCAGGTTCAATGTTTCCTTCTAACCTTCTTCGGGAACATACAAGGACCTGACTCGGAACAGAGAGCTTACTAAAGCTATGTTCACTAATTGTAGTAAGTAGACAGGATACAGACGAAGGGTATACAAAACCCTTTATTTTTCTCTATATACAATGACTTCCGTACTTCGGAATACAATGACCCTCCACTCGGGGTCTAACGTAAAAGATATAAAAATAAAACTAAACTCTAATTTAACTTTAGAATAATACACGTGGAAGATTGGCCTTATAATAACAGGAAGCGTATGTAGCACAGAGACTGTGAACACTACAATACGTTTAATTTATCAAGAGGATTAAAACCTCTGGCCTGGAAGGCAAACAGCAACTGCGTAACTTCTAAGGTAAGCGGCCTGCTTCGAACTCACTGCTTCCTCTCTCTCGCTTGGCAAAAAGGCCACACTTAAATACTTGGCGTTCGCCAGACAAACTTTGCATAAAACCTTCACGCTTATAATTCTGGCCGGAAGTAGAAGTAGAAAATAAGAAGTGATAGTAAAGATTTAAAATAAAATAAACGTTAGTAAAACTTAAGATCCTTGCAACCCTACATGCCAATATTTCGAAATTGATGAATGACTTACATAAATGCTATTATATGCGTTATATTGTGTAGAATAATTTTAATATATTAAAAATTCTGGAAAATCTCTTTCACACAAATATGATTTTTTGCATCTTCTAATCACCTTAACTTTATTACAAAATATACTGTATAGAGTTCTTCACTTTTATTCTGTCAAATTAAGCGTCGAGGAGCCTAGTGAACTGCTATGCGAATAATCACTTAAGTCCAAGAACAGAAACGTAAACTCAAGAAGAGTTAATTACCTTTCATTCATTCAAAATAAGATTAACAGTCGGCCCTGCAAAGCCTCCACTTGGGCTCAAACTCAAAATGTAAGAAATAAGAACTAACTAATGACTAACTAAGAGATTTAGACGAAACTAACACGATTCTAAAGTAGTTGGCCCGTAATATTAAATTAGCAAGCAAACTATCAAAAGGGACGTGATACGGCCGAGCGTAAGAATAGCTTAAAGAGACGTAACTAGACTTGAGTTACGTTTCTCTAAGCTATTGTATAGGAGTAGCATAGTATTTAAGACAGACCTGACTTAAATACTATGCTACTCCTCATTTGAATTTAACGCGATTCTAAAAACTCATTCTAGTAGAGAGTTGTAAGCTGAAGCTAGAGAAGCTAGGAAAGATGCATTAAATTAAAATAACTGTTATGAAATTAAAGCATACCTTACAACTGTAACTAATCTGTTGTTCATTTTTACATTAAGAGCTTCATCTTTTACTACATTTTCTTAGTTTAATGATCAGTTTTGCTAAGATATGTATTAGAGCTTAATTTGCATGATGATAAAATATAATTCATAAAAAATTCTGAGCATTTGTCAGAACGCTTTTGATTACGTCATGTTCAAATTATGTTTTCCTCTATGTTTGTCATTTAACAGGTTTCTCACAAAGTCATAGAACCTCATGTTTTGTGGTTAAATAAATTTATTTTAATTTTAATGCAAACCTTTGTACGTATTATCTTTACCTATATTTTAAAGTATATTAATTGTTTAAAATCAAATAAACATAACTCACCTCAAATCTAAGCTCCATAGATAGTACGCAGGTTGAGGAAACATTGAACTTAATACTTTTGTAATTAAGTTATTGGCTAAAGACAAAACTGCCAATTTCATATTTCTTTTGAATGCTTTTATGTGAAGCCAACGTATGCTACAGTTGATAAGTTGAATAAATGTTAGGTTCGGCCAAAAATCAAATTCTTGTGAAAGAGAAATAACTTCTGAATTCTCAATGATGAATGTTTCCAAGTTTTGCATTGAAGAAAGCAACGTCACATTCCATGCAAAAACGGATGCGCTATCGTAAATTTCGAATTTGTGTAAAGTATGTTCGATTTGTTTAAATGGATCATATCCTGGAACACTTAACAAATCAAGAGACACATGATCAAAAATTAATGTTGCCATAGCTTCAGCTTCAATGTTACCGAACAGGTCATCTGGCAATGCTTCTAATGCAACACTGTTAAGTTCAAATGTGCTTATAGGCTCTGTTATTAAGCTTAAATTAGTTTTTAAACTTTCACTTGTAATAAAATTACCATAACATTTCACATAAGCACTCAAGTTTTCATTCAGCTGGTATAATTCACATGTTGCCTTATTTGCTGCAGATGTTTCCCAAAAGAAGTGTAATACCAGAATAAAATGTAAAAGCATTGCAATAATTTATTTATGATACCCTGCAAAGAGAAAAATAATACATTTTAAATTAATAAATAACAAACATATTTATAGATTAAAATATTTTTATGTATTAACCAGGACCGTGCATAGGTATTTTTTCACCTGATGCAAATAGGTAAATGAGCGCCGCTATATGCAATCAACTTAAACGGATTTATATATGTCCATATTCAACAAACGTAATGATATAAAACAATACCGTAAATCTTATAGTATTTTTAATCATAACTTTATACATTCAGAAAGGTAATGAAAATAATAATTTATAATTTTTAAAAGAAAATGTTAAAAAGTACTTTTTGATAAAACAGCAAATAACACAGAAATAATAAAAATAGTACTGCAGAAAATTATTACATTAGTATTCCAACTTTTATTTAAAGCTCGATTCGGCAGAGAGGATCCCCTCATAGACGTATATGTGAGAGAATTGTTGAGCTTAATTTTGAATAATTCATTGAACAGAAACAAAGCAACACGACTTGCAAAGCTGTACGATAAAATTGAAACTCATTTGAGAGGAGCACTCGAGACATTAAACGTCACGTCTGACAAATAGGCATGCACGTCTCGTTGAATCTTGTTTGCCAAAAGATGTTATTAGAGTATGGGAAAGAAGCTTAGGTTTACGTAAAACTAGTAAATTATCAAATAAACTTACTTCTTTTAATGAACTTTGTAAATTCCTAAGTAGTGGGTGAAGAGAGAATATCGCTGGCATAGCAAGATTTCGGTTTAGAAAAGTTAAATAAAACATTCTACCCTCCCCCCCCATCTGCTAGTGAAACGCAAAACATTCCTACTGCCGTTGGTCGTTTCGAAGCTACAGACACTGCGAAAAGTAAACAAACTGTTTGCTTTTTTTCCGAAAGGGCCATGATTTACGAGCATGTAAAGCTGCATTAAAAATACAACTAGATAGATGATAAGACAAAATTATTATCGAAGAAATCATGTTGTTTTTTATGTTGCAGAACAGGGCAGAGGGCGCAAGATTGCAGGTCTAAAATTATTTGCGAAAACTGCCGCGGCAAGCATTGCAGAGTTAACGTGGAATGAAGAAAAATTGAAGGAATGTAAATCTTCGGAAGTGAAACAAAATGTAATTAGTGATACAGCGTTAAGTAATAGAGTATGTACGCGTAAAGTCCTTTTACAGACGTTGTATGTGAAATTACGGGGTACAAATTCAACACAAATAATTCGTGCACTCATCGATACAGGCTCCCAACGATCTAACTTAAATAAGCATGTCATAAGGGAAATGCAGTACCAGAAAATTAAGGAGGAAACGTTATTCATAATTTATCTGGTGGGAAAGAACATTCTGAGAAGCATTTTCGATATCGGGTATACATAAGCTGTGTAAATGAGGATTACCACTGGAATTTTGAAGTCCTTGACCAACAAGAAATTTGTTGAGAAATTCCTATTCCGAGACTAGAACCATTTGCTGAAGAACTTTTTGATAACAGTATTGTTATGACAGATGAATTAACCCTTGGGAAAGATAAATCATTAGAAATTGATCTGTTAATAGGGGCTGACGTAGCGGGTAAACACTTTAATGGTAAAGTAATACATTTGTCTTGCGGAGTGGTGGCTATTGGAACACTGTTAGATCGGACTTTAATGGAAAAGATACCTTTGCTTATAGATACTGATGCTGATTCTGCCATGATAGTGACAAATCTGCTTGTTAATTATGCCACGCTCTCAGAACTGTTTAAATTTGATGTTATTGGAGTAACTTGATGTTATTGGAGTCCGGTTACAAAGAAGACGAGAGAAGAAAGGGATTTGCAAGCAAAATTGCAGTTCCAAAATTCTGTACCCCTAAACAAAGAGGGGCGTTATGAAGTCGCACTTCCGTGAGCGGAGAATCATGTACAACTCCCCACCCATAAGGATTCAGCTTTGAAGCGTTTACAGTCTACCACCCAGAAACTTCTATCAAAAAATTTATTTTCTTCACACAATGCAGTTTTTAACGACTATTGTAATTTAGAGGTCGTTAGGATTTTTGATGCTGGAGAGACGTGAAAAATGAGCATTGCCCTCGCCAGGACTCGAACCACGGGCATCTCGAATACGCGCCGAGTTTGCTCACCACTACACCACGAAGGCATGCTAAGAAAGCGGGAGAAATACCTTATAAACTCCCCCTTTTGAAGGGCGATTGTGGATTAGGGGACCCAATCGCCAAATCCTGATGGTGGAGAATCATCATCCACCACCTTTTTTAGTTCGGGCGCCAATGTACAGACATTGTATATAGGATATTCTCCCGCCTTCTTCGTATGCCTTCGTGGCGCAGTGGTCAGCACATTCAGCGTGTATTCGAGAGGTCTGTGGTTCGAGCCCCGGCGAGGGCATTGCTCATTAATCCCGTCTTCCTGCTTCCAAATAACATAATGTCTCTACAATGGCGCCTGAACTAAAAAATGTGGTGGATGATGATTATTCACCACTAGGATTTGGCGACTGGATCCCCTAAAACCCCAGTCGCCTTTTAAAAGGGGGAGTATATAAGGCATTTCTCCCGCCTTCTTGCCTTCGTGGTGTAATGGTCGGCACGTATTCGAGAAGTCCGTGGTTCCAGTCCCGGCTAGGGCATTACTAATTTTTTATTTACTCCTATATATATATACATATAAGATCCGTTCTTAAATTTCGTATATATTATGCACATATTTATCGTAAAATTGAAGCATTTAGCAGATTTTCCTACAGAATTTTACTCACAGAAATGCAATCTTGCATTCTGCTGAATGTCTTTCTCCTACGATACTGAGAAATGTTTGGCCTCTATTTCTAAAAACAGATCAAGTGTTTTCAAATAGGGTGCACGTTGAAAAGATGCGGTAAATGTAAAACGAATAGAAGAAAGAAACACCTTTGACGTAAAAGACTTCTTTTCCGCTGTCCAAGAATAAGGACTCCTTGGACATAAATAACTATTATCTGTTTTCTGTTAGTTTACTAGCCTCACTTTAGAACTTTAGAACTTTGCGAAAGTAAATTGTAAACTTTAGAACAATGCGAAAGAAAATCGAAGTGCATTTACATAAAATTTTCCAATACCGAATTACCTGCTAATGATAAAATTAGCTAACAAAGTACAGAAATATAGTAAGACTAGAATTCTCTTTGCAGGTGTCGAGTTTACACTGTATGCACAAAATTTTGAATTGGTTTCTATTGAACCTTGCTATCCGAATAGTAAAAATTTGCTGAATACTAATAGTTTCATTTAGGTTCGAACATAGGTGAAGGGCTGACTGATCATTGGTGTTTGTGCAGTCAGCCCATTCACCTATGTTCCTAAGTCAGTTTCTCTTAGAAAGCCTTTCACGACGGCAGCCCTCATATGTTTGCAATAAATAAGCTCTCTTATGCTCTGCAATATCCGAATAGTCTAAACCCTTTTTAGTTGAAAGACTAATTACGCGTTTTGTTTTGAAAAAAAAAAAAAAAGTATCTTATTGAATTTTAGTTTCTTAGAGGAAAGAAAGAAAAAAAGATTATATATTTATTTTTAACTGAGCCAGCCATTATATGAACGAAATTTAATTTTGCTTCCTTAGGTGAAATAGAAATACAATGAAACCTCGTTACAACAATATTTAGGGACCAATAAAGATATTGTTGTAGAGAGGCATTGTATATCGAGGGCCCACATTTTGAGCTTTAATAAGAGTTTTTTTTATTATTATTTTAGTTTAAGGTCATAAATACATTTGAAGTCTAATTTGAGAATTATTTTGTAAAATACTAATAGTGGTTTAAATACTAAAAAAATAAATAAATAAGATAATTCAGAAAATAAGCACAGAAATACACATACCTGAAACACTTTTTATTGAAAATAATCCAATATTTTTTTTTGTTTTTTGATTTTTTTTAACTGTTAATTCACCATGTAGGGTTTATATTTATTTGAACTACATTTATTTTAAGTTTAAACTATCTTTCCTGTCAAGCCTTACTTTCCCCTGGAACTGCCAATGCCAGATATGTAAATTTTAGTAGAACGCGCAAGGATTCAAATTTCAGCTGAAGTATTCTGAGTTAAATAGAAAGGAAACGAGTTGAGATTGCTTCTTACTGACGCGTTTCGGCCTGTGTGCTTGTCTCGGCAATTGTTAATCGTTCAACGTGATATTCAAAGTTTGCTGAATTAGCAGCGGGTATGTAAAACGCGGTGAGGTTGTTTTTTAGAGAGCCTCGTAGTTAGTCTCTTGTTATTATTCTTTTCAGGTTCTTATTTTTTATTTTAACCGCCGGGTAGGCGTAGTTTGTGAGCGTCAAGAGCACGCATTTGTAATTTCTAAAGTTGAATAAAAAGGGACTTAAACCCTTCGCAGGACTCTGTCTAATTTCCAGTTTCAGCTGTCACCACTTGGTTGCGTGCAGGTTGGAGGCGCGCAACTGTACAACCAGTACTGTATGCATTGAGTCTAGTACACGAAAATGTTCTTCATTTGTCGACGGAAGGCTTGAAAAAAGTGTCCGTAGAGAATTCACGATTGAAGAGCTTCCTGGATGACAATAAGGACTGCGATGGACCTGTCATCATCATCATCATCATCATCATCATCTTCATCATTTTTCCTATCTCATCAGTAATTTCAGCGAGAATATCTTCATCAGTAACTCCTGGAAAACCATGAGATCATCATCTACTGTTAAATATCTTCTATACTAATTCCAAACTTTTACGCTTGTTTCCTCAAGTTGGGATACGGATTTTTTGATGTGCAAACACATTCTGATCATCATTGTCTATGGAATTTCATCATTATCAGATTTTTATCTTCATAACAAAAGACGGCCTTTTTCCCGCAATTCCGAATGGTTTTTTCTGTTACTTCCCACCAACTTCAGCAATATTGTCACACGCTTCCTGACATTTACAGCTTTGAAAGGGTCTTCTACTTTATTTTCAAAGTTTAAAGTATGGAGTCCACAACCGTTTCTATAATATCCTTGAAGCCACTTAATTATGCCCTATCAAGAGCTGTAAAATTGATGCAATGGCAGGAAAAAAGCGATTTCGATATTTTGTAGCTTTGGAAAACGTCATCCAAGCCTTCTTATTTGCTTTATACTCCACGGAAGACTTTTCACGTTCTTAAACACCTTGGCTTCAATGATTTCCCATGACGAGGTTGTATTCTATGCGTTCCTGTGCTATTTGTACACAGAAGAACATCAGTCTCTGCTTTGATTCTTCCCTCCATAACACTTTTCACCTTGAATGCCATGTTCGATCGGGTGGAGTTGGAAAAACAGCCCAGCTTCATCTGCATTTAAATGTCTTCTGGAGCATATTTCTAAGATTTTCATCTGTTTTGCTGCCATTCATTTGCGTCGTTTATCGGGGCTGACTTTTTCTCCGTGAACTTTTTGGAAAGTTATTCCATGACGATCTCGAAAACGCTTACCAACCATTGCTAGCTTTGAAAGTTTCGTTCCCTAGCATTGGCTGCAAATTTCCGTGCTTTGCAATTAAAGGTCCATTAGTGGGAATTTGTTGCTCTATCTCTGAAACCATTTTAAAACAGCAGCATCATGTTTTCATTTGTCGCAACTTCAGTCGTTTTCGCTCTGGGTTAATTTTCATTTGAAGTTACAGCATCTTCGATTTGCTTCTCTTCTTCGGTTGTGTGGTGGTGTGTGTGATTACGGCAAAGCCTCGGGGGCTATCTGCCTAGAGGAGGGGTGCCTTCGTGGAGGACTTCTAAGGGAAACTGGCTCGTTACACGTTACACATGGGGAAAACCACAAACACCCATGCAGCCAGGTTCGCGGGATCGAAACTGGACCGAACTACCAGTGTTCACTTTGCGCTCGGCCGCTGGTGGGCCTTCTTTAGGAACGTTGCAATGTGTAGATTGCGCCATGTTTCGTCTGCTTTTCCCTCATCATTCATACGTTCGTTATTCAAAGATAGTGCTTTCTCCCTGCCATCTTAGGGAACAATATCGCGTGAAAAGAACTTTAACCAAATGTTTCGCGAATAAAATCGTTAAAGACTATAAAACAACCTTGAACTCACTTTTCAGCGACTAATACACACACATCCGCCTCCAAGGGCCTGTTCTTAAGGGCCAGTTCGTGACAAAGGGGACCACACCTGATAACAACAAACAGAAATAAAAAGTTGAATAATCCACAAACAATAGAAGGAAAAAATACAAAGAAAAGAAAAAAAAAAAAAAAAAAAAAAAAAAAATCAAAATATTAAAAGGGGAGAAAAATAATACTGAAATCTAGATTGAAAAAATCGTTTTACCAGAGGTTTATTGTCTAGAGATATAGACAAATTGAAGATTAACATTAGATATGCAAAATCACCGGGACCACAAAACATAGTGTAGTAGGGCATATTGTTGTATCGGGTATCGTTGCGAGAGTTTACTGTATATCGTGCGTTTTGGTGAATAAAAAGGGTTTTACACTTCAGTTTTGCCGTAGAATGACTATTTTGTATTTTATTTTACGGAAATTAAAATCTTAAATTTTTTTGTTGCAAACCCTAGGTGGGGAAAAAGCTTTTTATATTAAAAAATAGCAGTCTCACATGTGCATAATAATAAATTAATATAAGCCTATAGGAAAGAAACCTGTTGCCCAGATATTCTTGGATATTCAGGTAGATTGTGATTATATTATCCCGGGTATTCGTTGAAATTAGTTGAATTTCTATTGAAAAGCTTACTTCTTCTTCAACGCATGTTTGATATAATTTCTAATATTCGCATTTTTGAGCATGTATATTAACACACAAATATTCTTGAGAAAAACTAACTGAAGGAAGGTGAATCTAATCATGATCAGTTCTACAGAATTTTATTTTAAATTTCGTTATGATTTGCATTTTTTGAGTGCAAAAATAATTTTTTTTCTTTTCATGTTTCGAAACTTTCACTATTTACACCCTTTAAAAATAGCTGCATATTATTATACTGAAAAATAAAATTTAAGAATGTAGTAAATTCTCGGAAATAATCTTAATTCAAAGTATCGAAAACCAAATTATAAATATAAATATTAAAAACTTACGTTTCTGTATTAAGTAGTTACCTTGAAAGTAATATTGATAGAAAATGTTTAGTAAAACTATGCATTACCTCTATTTAACTATAACATTTTGAAAAAATATTTTCAATTTTATGAATGCACATACAAGAACTCATGTTGCATAGAACTCATCAAGAGCGTTGGCCGATTAGGCGGACTATACTTCGCGACAAGCTAACCTGAGAACACATACAAGGCTAGAACGACCTTTTCACAGCTTCTCACCCTGTTCTTCAAGTTATTCATACGCAGTAAACTGCTCGCGGATATTCAGTTCCTCCAATTCGCTACACATTTGGAGACTTCTTATCAAATCCAGCGTATTTAAATAATCTTTTTATGCAGTCAAGCTGCAGTTGAAATTGATAATTTACTGCAGTGTAAAATGTAGGGCAAGTTATTCATTGTCTTAATTTATATGACATATTTCACTATTATTTAAATGTGACGTATACGAATTTGATGACATTTAAAACCCGAATCGTTACTTAAAACTTGAAAAAGAAGAGCTAACAATGTATTACTTGCAGTTTGGGTCAAATTTTTTTCCCAAGACCGTTTGCTTCGTTAAAAATAAAATATATAAATTTTGAAAAATCTGGTATTATTTTCTCTTAAATTTTAAGAGTTCACGCAGCTTGTTGCTACCAAAACAGTGAACGAGGGGAAAATTTTCGATTATTTTTTAAAGACGTTAATTTGATTTTAATTTGCGATTGTTTAAAAAAACTCCGACAATATTTTATAGCAGACATTTTAAAAATTATATCCTGTCTCCTAAGACACATACACTTCCCAGTCAGACCCAGATAATCACCCTCCTACAGTATGTTTTTATCCTATCTTTCTGATTACTGTTTAAAATCTAAAATAAAATGAAGAAAAAGACTGGAAACTGAGATCTTCAGATTGCAGTCTAACGACTAAAGAGTTTACCATTAAAAATTTCAAGGTATTAGAAAAATATTAAAACTTTAAAATTGTGAAACAAACAAAAGTTAGAAACAAATGATCTTATACAACTAATTAATCGTATACCCATTTAATTCACTAATCAATTACAATTATAACATTAGAAATGTCTAATATTAGTTACAACTAAAAAAGTATAAAAAAAAAAAAGAAAATCTGAAAGGTTAAGTGCATTTACTACTTTTAAGACATTTACCGTATTAAACAACAGTTTGCTTGTATTTTAAAAATAAATTAGTTTTTATGCTTTGAAGAATGAAATGTCTATGCGCGATGTGGCGTGAAAGGTGCGTCTTTTGTTTCGCGAAGGGGAATACATTGCTTTTACATCTCTCAATTTATAAAAAGCAGACTGATTCAGCTCTCTGAGAAACTGCGAATTATACTTTGTCGTGTAGGGCTGTACAAGATAGGTAAAAACCATACATTTCCTTCGAGGTATAAAAACAACAAGCATATCGTATGGAAAAATCTGGCTATTCCTTTCCTTAGATGGAATCATCTGCAAATCAAGCGTATTAATGATAGAGTAGCTTAAGCCGTGAAACACTGGTAATATGCAACGAGTTCGTTTGTAATGACTGTAAGCTCTGAACTGCATAGGAGTTCCTCAGCATATTATATAAAAGAAGTCCTTTACCCTTATAATGTCCCCACGAAGCCATCTCTTCCTTTAGACAGAAACCCTTGTTCCTTCTACCATAGTTAACTTAATTGATCAATACTTCCGTATTGGTTAGGTTAAGTGATTTGAATATAGCAAAGCACACAAGAGCTATTCGACTAAGGGATGAGATGCATTCGTGCAGGACTTTCTAAAGGAAGCGAGCTCGTATTCACGTTACACATGGGAAAAAGACCAAAACCGACCATGAATACAGCCCGTTCGCTTGAGTTCAAACGATGTCAAACTACCAGTATTCAGCGATTTAACCACTCGGCTACCGGTGGGACACGTTCATATTATATTTTTTAAGGCATTTGTTATCTTTTAATTAAAAAATTATTTAGAACTGTTTTTAGTTCTGCCTTTTCTAAAATTTTATTTTTGGCCTTGAAACGGCCCTTTTATTTTTAATTTGTGGCCCGGAAAAAGGCCTTTTTTTTAACTGAGGTATTCAGTCCCGCTAAGATTATAACAAGTAACAATATCGTTATCGCATTTATTAGGAAAATGCTCCCGTAATTTGATAAAAGCATTCATTACGATAATCTTAGCGGTACTGTTTTTTCAGGTTTATGAAGTTTTCCAGCTTCATGAGGTTGAAAATTATACACATATGTCGAAGATGAAGCAGATACCATAACAATTGCTTTTTTCTCCTCCCGGTCAGTGAATGAATGCTTTAATTGCTTTTCTCGTTAAGAGTGGGTGAGGTCGGGGTTGCTGGAATTTCCAGTTTCGCCAATAATGCCCCAAAAAAAGGGGATGCCTTCCTGCTGCTCATTGAATGATTGACACGATTTAGCAAATTTTTAAACAAGAAGCTGGACGCAACGTAATCTATCGTTTCACACATTTTTCCTTCCGTTCTCTTTGTTCAACAGCATTTATATTTCACAGCATAATTTTTACAATATTACTTCTCGAAATGGTAGAACTATATTCTACGGCGGACGCATACACTCCCTACTATACCCAGTGTTCTCAAGTTAGGTTGACCTGAAGTATAGCAATAAATTCTCTGAACACTGGTAATTCGGCACAGGACTCGAGTCCCACGAACAAGCTCACTGCGTAGGCGTTTTCTTTGTTTTCCCTACGTGCAACGTGTATACGAGACAGCTTCCCTCATAAATTCCTCCACGAAGACATCCCTATCATTAGGCAAATAACCTTTGAGTGTTTTACTATAATCAAATTAAATAAAATTTAAAAAATAAATAAGTAACAAGAGCATTAGATTAGTGTCTCTGTTTAATTCTTTCTTATATAGAGAGAAAATAAATTAAAGGTATGGAGACTAATAAAACACCATAAGATTCAATCAAAATCCGATTCAATCATTCATCGAAATCCGATTTCTTATAATTTTTCAGCACGCAGATTTCTAAGGAAAACTGTTTATTTGCTCTTAGCCCCCCCCCAAACAATGAGTAGTGGAATGGTAAAATATACTGATATTTTCTTAGATTTTAAAGAAAAAATATCATTAGGTACAATTAATAAATTCGCGGCATTCCATACTTATTGCTGTACACAAAAGCGGAAAATTGCATGACAGAAATTTAGATGTCTGTGATTATGATTAGAAAATAAACAAGTTTTTTTACTTCATGTTCAATTAATTAGTTCTGTCATTATATCAAATAAGTTGTGAAATATTATTTATATCCGTAGCTTCAAATAAACTCTGGATGAAAAATATCCAAAGCTACAAATAAAATAAGAAATTTTCTAAGTTAAGATATTTTACTGTTTACTTTATTAAAAAATTAAGGAAAACATATCGAAAATCATATTGTTTCAGTGAGAAAATATTGCTTCTATCCTAGGCAAGCAATCATATATAAGAAGTAAATTAAGTAATTAAAGTGAAGTTACTAGAAACACAAAAATATTTTGATATTATGCCTGTATGCATATAGATTGCTCATAAAGAGTTAAATAAATAAATATCTATATAAACATGTGCGCACAAATTTACATGCAGCTTTACGAACGAAAAAAATAAAAAAATTATAATTCTTTTCTTTTAATGTCTTGATTTGCAGTTTTTCACAAAATTTAGATTTGGTAACATAAACCTCGACTTACTGTTACAAGTCGGATCACAAACGCTAACATATACCTTCTTGGAAACCACCAAAGGGCAAAGTTTTGACAGTGATTGATATTTTTACAACCGACACTAATCTTGATCACTTGATGATTCTCCGCAGGTGTGGGGGGATAAAAAAACTAATTAACGCTTTTGGTGCATTTTGTGAAAGAAAGGTTCTGCGCTTTTCAAACGTTTTTCTTGACAAAGCTGGTAAAGCTTTAGAAAACAATACCTTATCTTTCTCAAAACCTCCAGAGGGTTAAAAGAAATCTCCCTCTTACGTTGGATACATCCCAGCAAGGACAGTAGGAAGTTCTGCAGCATTCAGACTTTCTGTGATGCCATGAGTATGCTGCTCCAGTTTTCTTGAGAACTGAGACGAATTCTGGAGTTGAAATTCATCTGTTGGCATCGAAGCCTAGAGTAGTTCCCGTGAAGTTCATCACGATTCCCCTTCTGGAATTGATAGCTGCCACAATAGCAGCCAGACTGCGCTCTTTCGTTTTAAATGGTTTACAATGGAAAAATGTGGAAATGCATTTTGAGATGGATTCTACAACAGTTTTGAAGTGGATTCAAAAAGAAGAGATCGTCTGGGCTGCCTTTGTGAAGAACAGAGTCAGGGAGATTAGGAAACTGACGGATGCAAATGCGTGGAAACATATTTCTAGAACAAAAACCCAGCTGACCTTCCATCAAGAGGATGCACTGCCAAACAACTTTTGGTAGTTAGATGGTGGAAGGTCATCGATTGGCTGAAGAAAAATCAGGAAGAATGGCCAAAATCAAGATTGGTCTATAATCAAGAAGATATAACTCATGAAATGAGAAAAAGAGTAACGGAAACTCATTTAAGCATAGAAACTGAAGTAAGCTTCCATAAAATTTCATCATACAAAAAAACTCATTAGAGTAGTCGCTTGGAATTTCAGATTTTACTTTAATTTAAGATATAAAGCGTCGTCATGCTCTGGTGAACTAGCTGTAAAAGAAATCAGCGAAGCGAAACTTATCGTTTTTTTTTTTTTTTTTTTTAAGTGTCCAACAAGAATTTCCTGATCGAATAAATGACCAGCGAATAAAACCTCTTCGTCCAGTACTTGACGAAGAAGGATTAATAAGAGAACGAACACAGATCTCCAGCAGAAAAGATAAGAGAAATTTTCGGTTTCTAATAATACTACCATCGAAGCATAGAATTGTGCATATGCTTATCGAATATAAACATAAGGAGCTTGGGCATCCAGGGGTGCAAATATTAATCAATCACCTTCAAGAAAATTATTAGATTCTGCAAAGTCTCGATACGATTCGACAAGTTATCTTTAAATGTGTTCGATGTAGGCGATGCACCGTGACTCATCCAGAACCAAAAGCCACTTTC